CCCGCTCCCACCACCGCGCCTGGGGCCCGAGCGCTCCAGCCAGGCAGCGCGCGCCAGCTCATACTCCGCGGCCAGCTCGCTGCCGTCCGAGAACTCGTCGCGCAGGAACTGCCCGCGCTCGGACCCGAGATCCTCGAACTCAGAATCCCCCTCGAACTCAGAGTCCCCCTCTAGGCTGCCCCCGCTCCGCCACGGCCGCCACGCCGAGCAACGCGCCGCAGCAGCGCGATCCTCCTCGGCTTCGCAGCCGAATCTCCTCCGCCTCGGTGCTCTCGGCGCCGCCCTCGCCGCAGCCTTGCTCGGCCTGCTGCGCCACGCCGAGCTCCCCCAGCAGCGCGGCCCAGCGCGCCCACTCGGGGAGGTACGGCTGGGCGCCAGACCGCAGCGGGGTCCTCGCGGCCGCCACTCGGGCGCTGGGCAGCCGCGCTGGCGCCTCGGCCACGCAAGCATCCAATGCGCACTCAGTCGGCGGCTGCACTTCGCAGACGCAGGTCTCCACCTCACACACGATGGCACTCTGCGCCGCACCGCCGCGCCCATCACCAAGAAGGGGCCCTCCTGGGAGGCGCGGCCCGCGTTGAGCCCTGCGCCATTCCTGCGGCGGGGCGTCTGCCGACGGGCAGCGCTCGGCATGCCACGCGACGTTCCGCCGCTGCCGCTGCGCCCTGGTTTCGCGGCGTCCGCGGACGCGCGCAACCAAGGCGGGCCGCGCGATGGCTTCGCGGCGGAGGGCCTCCGCCTCCGCGGCGTCGCCGCGCGATCCGCACTCCAGCTGCGCCTGGAGGCTGGCGTTGACTTCCTTCGCCTCCCGCAGATCCATGTCAAGCCGTCTCACCAGGTTGCCTGCCGCCCAGCGGCCCCCCGCGACACCGGCGAGCACCTCCCGCACCATTCTGCCCAAGCGCCCGCGCGCGGCGCGCGCCCGAGCACGGCTTGAGCCAAAATGGCTACGCTGTGCGTTCTGCCGTGCTCCTGTGTGTTCTGCCGTGCTCCCCCGCGTTTTGCCGTGCTTCTGTGCGTTGGTTTGCGGCAGCCCTGCCCATTTTCTGAAGATGTCCCAGGCGAAAAACTAATGTTTAACATGCATTGTCTTAAATCAACCTTTTCAACATCTCATGTTTTCGAGGATGTGTCAGGTGATGGCGCCATTTTGTTAGGTTGGCTGAGTTTGCGACATTAATTTTCTGGTGGACGTCTCAGGCGAAACGCATGTTTTTGTGAACGCCGATGTTGCAAACAACTCGTATTGGTGAGGATGTATCGAGCGAAATGCGCATGTTAAGGAATACCGAGGGCGCTCTTGGGGTCATTTTGGGGCTCGTTCGCGGCTGTTTCGATGCCATCAAAAACGATGCCTATGCGATGTCACACACATCTCTTGATTGAGGATGTCCCAAGCGAAATCGTCATGTTTAGAAGCCTGGCTTGGGCCGTCTGGAAGCCATATGAAGAGCGAGAGCGTCGGCGCGGAGAGCGTCGGGCACCGCATCGAGCCGCGTCGCCGATGCACTGGCGACTCGGCGAGATCCTCCGACAACATCTGCTCGGAGCCCACTCTGAGAGGCCTGGGCCTGGATGCAAGAATAGCCAAGCGCGTTCCACTTCTCGCAGAGTAACTGCTCGCAAACGGCCTGGATCCGCCGCGTAGGACTTAGGACCCATTACATGGAGGACGACGCGTTCTTTTCTGGAGTTTGCGCGTAGGCACTTCGCGTCTTTCTCGCTTCGTTTCGCCTTTCTTGCTCTCCTCGTGTGTCGCTTGCCCTCCCTTCTGTCTCGTCATTATTTCCCTCTTCCGCTCTTCTTGTTGTCCCGTTTCTCCTTCTTTCGCTTCGTTCTGTCTTCGTCTCACTTGCGCTGCCCGCGTAATGGCCCGTCTCTGTGTCCGCTGCCTTGCACTTGCGCGGCTTAGCACCTCGACCGACCTTTCTTGACGGTGCGCGGCTGTTTCCGCGTCACTCGCCATCAAGAGTAGGCACTTCGCGAGCAGCGCAACGCGCTCGGCGAAAGCAGGCCTGCGGCCCGCTGCCAGCAGTGCCCCGACTGGCCTGGGCGGCCCGGGCGCCCGCGGCGTGCAGCAGAGGGGAGCGCTCCACCAGGGGCGAGCTGCAGCGAATGGCCGGCGCGCGGCCGACGGTACGTACGGTGCGGGTACCGGGCAAGGAACTTCCTCCTCCTCCTCCTCCTCCTCCTCCTCTTCCTCTTCCTCTTCCTCTTCCTCCACCTCCTCCTCCTCCTCCTCCTCTTCGTCCTCCTCCTCCTCCCCACCTCTCCTCCTCCTCCTCCTCCTCCTCCTTCTCCTCCTCCTCCTCCTTCCCCCTCCAACCTATGGTGGCGGGGTGGAAAACAGGCCCATCAAGGGAGCTCGACCGACGACGGAGGGGTGGTCGACGACCGACTCCCCGAGCCGCGAACCGATCCGCCGACCCGCCCAGCGAGGAGGATGCATCCACGGTACGTACGGTGCGGGTACGGTGGAGGAGGCATCCAGGATATGGCCATGGAAGCCTGGATAGCCGGTGGAACTCCCATCGTGGATTGGCCATGGATGTGGATTGGCCATGGGTGTCTCTGCCGTCCACATGCTATCTATAGTCCCGCAATCCTTCACCAACGCTTCCAACATATGCGGAAGGACGCGCGGCGTCGCGGCGAGGCGCAGCTCCAGGCAGCCGCCGGCATGCGCCACGCGGGGGATCCTCGGCAGCCGGCAGCGCGTCGGACCTGTCTCCCGTCGCACCTCCGTCGTCGTCCGAGTAGTCGTGCACAATGCGGGTACACGAGCAGCTGCGCCCCCAGGAGGGCCTTTACCGGCATCACGGTTACCCACTATGAGGACGATCTCCCCTTGATTACGTCCTGGAGTTTTGCGATCAGGATTAGAATATGTTATAGTTCATATGTATTGTTTTCCATGTGACCGTATTCAGTGTGTCTACATGGTGCTCCCGCGGGAGCGCGAGCCCCAGTTTAGGATCGGCGAGTTGATCTCGTCGTTGTGAAAGGTACGTTCGCCCCAGTACGTGTATCAGTGTTACGATATTTTTCTGGTTCCGAGTCATTCCTTGACGTTGTCGACCCGCAGAGTTCCCCTCCCCCGCCTTTCCTTGGTCATCCTGCTCCTCCCACTCCTGCCACCCTGCTGCTATTCCTCCTCGTCGTTATCCTTCCTCCTCCTCCTCCTCCTCGACCTCCTTCTTCAGCTCATCCTCCACCTCAACCGCAGCTCCTCCTGCTCGCCCTCCCCTCTTCTTGATTGGGCACTCTGCGGCCCAGGTCCGCTATGACACCTTCTGGCTGGTAGAAACACACATCAGCGCAACGGGAAGGGGTGTGTGGGAGGGGTCGGATGCCAGATGTGACGCGAGCGCGCTTAGCTTGTCCCTCCCTCTCCTCCCGTCCCCATCCCCCGCCCCACCCCTCCTCGACTTTCCACTTCCTCCTCCTCCTGCTCCTCCTCCTCCTCCTCGTCCTCCTCCTCCTCTTCCTCCTCCTCCTCCTCCTTCTCCTCCTCCTCCTCCTCCCCTCCTCATCCTCCTCCCTCCCCCCCCTTCCCTCCCTCCCTCCCTCCTCCTACTAACTATCCTCCCTCTGTCTCTGTCCTCCTCCTCCTCCTTCTCCTCCTCTCTCCTCTCCTCCTCCTCCTGTCCTCCTCCTCCCTCCCTGTACCCTTCCTTGCCCTCCTCCCCTCGCCCCCCCCCCTCCCCCCACACCCCCAGCGAGCCCTTCCCCCAGCGCTCCTCCCAGGCACATCCGAGGCCGCGGCTCCCAGCTCCAGGGCCTCCATGATGTTGGCGGCCTGGCGGGCTGTTAACGCTGCCCTGTGCTGCTCGTCGCCATTTTGCGCCTCCTCCCAGTGCCTCATGTCTCCTGCCTCATGCCTGCGCCCCCTGCTCCTGCTCCTGCTCATGTTCCTGCCCCCCCCCTCCTCCTCTCCTCCCTCCTCCTCCTCCTCCGCCTCCTCCTCCTCTCCTCCTCTCCTCCTCCTCCTCTCTTCCTCCCCTCCTCCTCACCTCCTCCTCCCCCTCCTCCTCCTCCTCCCTCCTCCTCCTCCTCCTCCTCCTCCTCATGTTCATGTTCACCCTCCTCCTCTTCCTCCCTTCTCATCCTCTTCCTCCTCCTCATCTTATTTCTCCTGTTCCTCCTGCTCCTCTTCCTCCTCCTCCTGCAGCTCCTCATCCTTCCCCGCGGAAATCGGAACGAAAGGTCTAGCCGAGCAGAACACGCCAGCGTGCACGCAGCTTAAAGCAAGCCTGAAGAGAGATAGAGAGAGAGAGAGAGAACGCAGGGGAGGCCTAAGTAGTCTCCTTGCCTTGCTGATCCTGGAGCGGCAGCAAGGCTTTTCTGCTCGTGCAGGGGAAGGGGGCAAGATCCTCCGACTCCTCTGCCCCCCCGTGTCTACTCCACCCCCACCCTCGGGTGGGGGCAATCGACACGAACCGACCCCCTCATAAACGGAGCCTGCCGCGACCAACTATCTGGTCGAAACTGCGCTCGGCAGGTCGGCAGCTTTGGCACCCGCAGCTCCGCAAAGAAAGGACGGGGGAACGAATTATTACCCTCAACAGCTTTGGACACCGAAGCTAGGGATACCAAAACTAATAAGCCCAAAGAAAAAAATAAGACCTTTGCCTTTGCTGTTGAGGGATTCCTGTCTGGGGTCAGCTCCCTCAGGCATCTCGAACATATCCAGACTGGGACCACGAATACGTATGGCCAACAACCGCCCCGTTACGACAGAGCTGCCTAACGGAGGGTGGCCTTCAAATCTGGACGCTCCTCCATACAAATCCGATGCTGTAATACAATCCCCCACTATCTGAGAATATGAATTCTCGCCTCGGCTGCTGACGCTACAGTAGCAGCAAGCACAAACATATGGCACAGCGAATACTCGAAACCCTCCACTCCCTCTCCTCCTCCAGAAAAGCTGGCCAGGAGCAGCACAAGCTCTGAGGGATAGGGATGGTGCGGATAAGGTTTGAGATGGAGGGATGATGAGGGAAAGAACAGCATGACGACAACAGCTGCCCTTTGACTCCCTCACTCGCTGCTCCTTCCCAAGTGCAGCAAAGGTACTCAGCCAGACCCTGCGCTGGCCGCTATATAAAGGGAAGCATACATCATGAGACCACGACTTGCATCCTGGGAAGCAGAGCGCTGCCGTGTTCTTTGCATAGCGCTCACCACACACGTAGCACCTAACTTTAGCATCAGGGGCCGATGAAATTAAACAGCTGCAGCTCCCATGAACAGTGATGCGTCTAGCGCAAGGATACCCTGGATCTTTGAAATCCTTGTCATCGTTGCTAAGGCTCTTGTTGTCGCTGCCGACGGCGTGGCAATCGAAGACCTTGTCTGTGCTGCTGTCCGCTCTGCCGTCGGCATTGCAGTCGGAGGTCATGTCAGTGCTGCCGTCGGTGCTGCCGTAGGCGACGGGATTGGAAATCTGATCGGTGCCTGCGTCCACGCTGCCGCCCGCGCTGTCGTCAGCGCAGACCTCGGAGAACATATCGGGATTGCTGTGTGCCCGGCAGCCCGTGGTGGCGAGGTGCAGCAGCATGGCATCCGATTCCGCGAGCGTCTGCAAGAGCTCGTCTACTCTGGCTTGCTTCTCGGCCATGGCGTCCTGGGCAATCTCGATCTCGATCTTGCGAATCATGTGAGGGTCTCAAAGCATCTGGCTGCCGTACTCTATATATCATCGCGTAGGCCCTGAAGGTCCAGGCCCATCGGCTGTGGATCATCATGTAAACAACTGCTTTGTCATGCTGCTGACAAGATGCCGGCACATACTCTGCCTCATATTATGCGCTGTCGTTCTCATCCATTTGAGTGGCATCCGCGGCAGCGAAATACTTTAGCTGCAACGGTGTCAGAATAGAAACTTCGGGGCCACTGATATCCACCCACGCCTGCTTACCCTCTGGGGTCCTTGGAGAGGCCGTTGAAATAGGGGGCGAAGAAGAACCCGATTTAGACAAATGCGCCTCCAGCTTAGACACAACCTTTGTGGCATTGGTCGTCGTGATGTGCCTCGTGACGTGAAATGCCACGAAGAGGCGCTCCATGGTCTTGCTCATGGCTTGGTCGATGAATTTCCCACGTCGCGCCTGACGGGCCACGACCGTGACGCCCTCGGCATTCATGGAGGTAGCGGTGGCCAAAATCCGCAGGAAGGGAGGAAACGCTCATGGCGGCGAGGATGAGGACAGTCCCGACAGGGGTGCCGTGCCTATCCAAGTGAGTGGAAGAACCCAGGACCCCCAGCACCCACTTGGGCCAAAAATGGCTACGGAGCCTCCTCCTCCTCCTCCTCCTCCTCCTTCTCCTCCCCTTCATCCCCCTCCTCCTCCCCCTCCTCCTCCCCCTCCTCCTCCTCACCACCACCACCACCACCACCACCCTCATCATCGTCATCATCAGCTTCACCATCATCATCATAAACATCATGATCATCCGCATCATCATCATCATCATCATCATCATCATCATCATCATCATCATCATCATCATCATCATCATCATCATCATCATCATCATCATCATCATGATCATGATCATGATCATCCTCATCCTCATCCTCATCCTCATCCTCATCCTCATCTCATCCTCATCCTCATCCTCATCCTCATCCTCATCAGCATCAGCATCAGCATCAGCATCAGCATCAGCATCAGCATCCGCATCAGCATCAGCATCAGCATCAGCATCAACATCATCATCATCATCATCATTATCATCATCATCATCATCACCATCATCATCATCTATCACCATCATCATCATTCGCATATTCCTCCCCCTCCTCCTCATCTATCACCATCACCATCACCAGCATCGTCAGCATCATCATCCTCATCGTGCCCATCCTCCTGCTCATCATCGTCATCATCATTATCATCATCATGATCCTATCTCTCTCTCTCTTTCTCTCAACCGCCTCTGCGGTCCCCACTCTGCGCGCGCCCACGCCGCGCGCGCGACGCGCCCGGCCCGCGCGAGCCCGGGCGCGGTGGAGTTTTTTCCTAGGGGGGAGAGGGAGGCCGCCAACCAACCATCCATCAAACACATCGGAGGACAAAGGGGGGGGGTAGGGGGAGCGGGGGAGCGGCCGGGCCACGCAGTTGCTCGTGCTGGCGGTATCGAAGACGGCGCGCTCTGCGCGCAGCGCGGTGCGCGCGCACATTGTCCGCAGCGCCGAGGACGTCGTACGTCACTCCAGCTACTCGGCAGCCCGATACAGTATCGAACTGCTTGTTGTTCCACAACTAGTAGCCCTTAGCAGTAGCAATCGTCATCGTCGGCGTCTCAGCGCACGCTTGTGATGTCCGTAGTGGATATTTCGTGTACGCTTGTTATGGCTCCCCGATGGCGGTGGTATGCCGCAATTGTTGACGAAGTCCTCAGTTATCGGGTTGCCCTGGGAGGCCAGCAAGTCCATGTAGTACTTGCTCCCCCCTGTGATCGTGAGCTGGTGGTGGAGTTTCGTACTACTGTCAAAAGGCATATCGTCGAAGTTGTAGCTCACGCAGTAAATCCTCATGTGCGCGTACTGGTCTGGATCCATATGTCGGACTGTTGCCCGTATAACTTGGCAACAATTGCCTGTCTAAGCTGTCCGGTTGTAGGGGTGCCTTTGTCGATTTCGAGGGTGACAATCGAGGGCGACGAAGTCTCCATCTCGGGGTCCCAAGTTAGATACTAGCTGAACCTTACTGCTGAATCGTATGTGTGACTCTACACCATGATATAACTTCTGGTGACGTGCCACTTATCATCATGTAATGACTGGGGCGGTTCTTGCCCGCGAAACGGTCCTTCAATGCGATTCCTGGTGACAGCTTCGCAGGTATCTTCCGAGCGTTTGGTAATACTCCTCCTCCTCCTCCTCGTCCTCCTCCACATCCTCTTCCCCGCCTCCCCTTCTTCGTGCGCTGCTCGGATACTGTTCCAGGTCCAGAGGCCTCTGCGTCCTCCATTCCTTTTCCTCATAAATTCGCCGGCCCAACGGGCCAGAGGCGTGCTAAGACTCTGGTAACTGGTAAACAGTATTTCTGGTTCGCGCGCGCGGGGCGGCCCCTGGGGGTCCCTGGATCAAAAGTACCCCAGGCGGAGCCCGGGACACGCCCGGGACACTCCCCCCGATCCTCCAGGATCGCCCCAAGAGGGCCCCAAGAGGCCCCCAACACAATCCAAGAGAGGTCCGAGACGCCCGAAGATCGCTCCACGGCGCTCAAGATGGCCTCCAGACGGCCCAAGAGGTCTCCAAGATGACCCAACAAGCCTCCAAGATGCCCCAAGAGGCCTCCAGGAGCACTCCCAAGAGGGCCCCAAGAGGCAAAATCAATGTTTTTTTCTTGGGTTTTGGATAGATTTGGGCGTTTCAACCTTTTCGGTCCCCCGACGCCCCTAAACGGCTCAAGAGGCCTCCAAGATCGCCCCAAGAGGGCCCAAGAGGCCCTCAAAAGGGCCCCAAGACGGCCCAAGACCGCTCCAAGACGGCCCCAGAGGCCTCCAAGACGGCCCAAGAGGGCCCCAAGAACGCCCCCAACACGGTGCAATAGAGGTCCGAGACGCCCGAAGATCGCTCCACGGCGCCCAAGATGGCCTCCAGACGGCCCAAGACGTCTCCAAGATGACCCAACAAGCCTCCAAGATGCCCCAAGAGGCCTCCAAGAGAACTCCCAAGAGGGCCCCAAGAGGCAAACAACTGTGCTTTCCCTGTGGTTTTGGACATATTTTGGCGTTTTAACCTTTTCGGTTCCCCGACGCCCCTAAACGGCTCAAGAGGCCTCCAAGATCGCCCCAAGAGGGCCCAAGAGGCCCCCAAGAGGCCCCAAGACGGCCCAAGACGGCTCCAAGACGGGCCCAGAGGCCTCCAGCACGGCCCAAGAGGGCCCCAAGAACGCCCCCAACACGGTCCAAGAGAGGTCCGAGACGCCCGAATATCGCTCCACGACGCCCAAGATGGCCTCCAGACGGCCCAAGACGTCTCCAAGATGACCCAAGAAGCCTCCAAGATCCCCAGGAGGTCTCCAAGTGCATTCCCAAGAGGGCCCCAAGAGGCAAACAAACAATGCTTTTCCATAGGTTTGGGACAGATTTGGGCGTTTCAACCTTTTCGGTTCCCCGACGCCCCTAAACGGCTCAAGAGGCCTCCAAGATCGCCCCAAGAGGGCCCCCAAGAGGGCTCCAAGATGGCCCAAGACGCCTCCAAGACGGCCCAAGAGGCCTCCAGGACGGCCCAAGAGGGCCCCAAGAACGCTTCAAGAACGCCCCAAGAGGGGGTTCACGAAACATAATTTCGAGCTCTGAGCCCTTAGAGGCCCCCGGGAGGCCCCAAGACGCCCTCAAAGGCCCCAAGAAGCCCCTAAGAGGCCCTCGAGAGGCCCCAAGAGGCATCCAAAAGGCCATCTGGAGGCCTCCAAAAAACCCTCAGGAAGCCCCCAGGACGCCTCCAAGACTCCAGCCAGACGCGAGTTGGGAAACGCGGGTCGGGGTGGTCCTCCTCCCCCGCGTTCGGCCTCCAGCCTCGAGCCTCGACCCTCCACGACGACGACGACGACGACGGCGGGCGGCGGCGGCGGGCGGCGGCGGCGGCGACGACGACGACGACGACAAAGGCGCTCCTCATCGCTCCTCATCCCCCTCCTCCTCCTCCTCCTCCTCCTCCTCTTCCTCCTCCTCCTCCTCCTCGTCGTCTCCTCCTCCTCCTCCTCCGGTCCAATTAGAAAAGAGATGGTAAGAGAAACGCCACAAGAAAGTGTTCCTTCACGCCCGTGTCCGCAACGCCAGAGGACATCAGGACGATAACAGAGCCAATGTTAGCATTCAAAGCCCGCCACCCTCCGACACGAAGGTTCCCCTATCGCATAAGATGTCTCTTCCCCCGGCTCGAACGGCCCCACAGCGGGATACCACGGGTGACACGCCCCCACGATGGCACCAAAGCCGTCAAAAAACTGCAAACACCTAGAAACCCCATGAAAAACATTAACACATTTATCGACAACTACACAGCTCCCGACGCCGCAGCTCCACACTGCAAACGACCACTCGGACAGGCGACCACGGTGCGACATTATGGGCCGGCGGAGTGAGCGAAGCGATTAAATACCTTCTCCCTGTCGCACCCCAAGGCCGGTCGAAAGGGAAGGCCGGTCGTTTCGCCTCCTCACTTTTCTGACCCTGAAACATAACAGTTGGCATCAGTTTCGCACATGGAAGGGCGGGCCGTTTTCAAAATGTGGCTCTCGCCTGAGCGCAGCGCACATTCATTCTAAATGTACGCAAGAGCTTCACGCATAGAGGGCGGGTCGTTTTTAAAATGTGGCTCTCGCGTTAGCGCCGCGCACACTCGTTTTGGACAAATTGCAAGAGCTTCACGGATTGACGGCTGGTCGTTTTCAAACTGTGGCTCTCGCCTGAGCTTCGCGCACATTCGTTGTAACAAATTGCAAGAGCTTCACGGATTGACGGCTGGTCGTTTTCAAAATGTGGTTCTCGCCTGAGCGCCGCGCACGCTCGTCTTAAACAGGTGCAGGAGTTTCACTGATTTAATGCGGATCTTTTTCATATGGTCGCTCTCGCCTTAGCGCTGCAAGCATATGCAATCAGAGGCACGCGTGCCAAGGATCATACAATCACGGATGTGGGACACTGGGAGATGGAGGTGACGCCAACCTGCTATACACTTTCGGGAAAGCGCGCGAGTGCTGCGACACGCTGAGCTATGGCGTGAAGAACTTGTTATGCCACTGTGAGCTAGTGGCGTCTCTATGATTCTTCGGGGCCATGGTGTTATTGGGCGTCTCTGGGGTTTATTCGGGGTCTGGTGTGGGCCCGTCTGGGGATATTTGGGGGCGCCTTGTGGCAATATTGACAAGTTCTGGGGCCTTTTAAGCACATTGGACTCGGGGGGGGGCCAGGGGCACGGCCGGAGCGGGGGGTGCACGGTCGGTCGGTCGGAATACGCAGGCGGGGGGGCCATAGGGGCGGATTGGGCGGGACAGGGGGGGGGCTGTGGAGAAGGCATGGGGGCACGGTCGGTCGAGGGGGGGGGCACGGTCGGTCGGTCGGAATACGCAGACGGGGGCCACGGAGCACAGGGGAGGGGCACGGTCGGTCGGTCGGTCTGACGAAAGAGATGGGGGCCACGGGGAGGAGGGGCGCGGAGGGGAGCAGGGGGCGGGAGGGCATGCTCGGGCAGGAAACTATAAGGTCGGTCGGTCGGAATAAGCAAACGGCGGCCACGGGGCGGAGAGGGGGTGCACGGTCGGTCGGTCGGTCGG